TGTAAGATGAACTGTTAAAAGAGGGATTCCTCTGAAGTCGAAAATAAGACCGGTAAGAAACATAGTTTAGACCTGTTGTGACTCAAGGGATTTAATTATATGGCCACTTGAATAAAACTTGTTTCATGTATGTGCTGCAGATCTATAGATTGTACATTATACCATTAACACAGAATTACTTGTATTATTTTGTATAAATGGTTGCTGGCTATGTTATTTTTCTCTGATTCCTGGAGTCATCCAAATTTTCCAGCTATAAATGAAATCACAAAAGTGAGATCTCATTTATGCCGAAAAACTATATTCATGAGAAAAAGGGCTTTAATTAATAAATTGGAGTAAAAAGAAAATTAATGTTTTGCCATTGGATGATCATCAATTCATTATCTGCACTAAAAAACTCATGAATACAATTCCCACCTCAATATAGCTGCAGCCAGAAGCCCTCCTCTGTTTTATCCCATTTCTAACCATTAACTTCTTATCCCATATCCCTTTTGCTGCATAGATATTAGACATAACAACATCATCCCCAACAAGGCTCTCTTCCAATTCAAGAAGCTTATAATGAGAGACTGAAGCAAGTTCTACATAGCCATGAATTCCACATGCCCCGAGCAGTGTAGTCCATATATCTGTGTTTGTCTTAACCGGCATTGGCAAAATGAACTAGTATGCTTCATTTAACAGCCCACCTCGACAAAAAAAAAAAATGTCCACCATGATGCCAAAATGAGAGTGCCAAGGCTTTAGGCTATAATCCTGGACCATACTTCTAATGTATCACTTACCCCCTTCCGCCAAACCTGCATGGCTAGAAGCCATTAAGAAACCAAATTAATGTAACACTGTTAGGTTTCCATCGCAGCAAAACTTCGCAGTGCTTCATGTGCTTGGCCTGTTGGCCATCCTTACTTTTCATGCTGGCAAACATTTGCTTAACAGTTCTGATGTCCCCACATTTTGTATACATGTTTATGAGTGCATTTTTCAGGCTGAAATCTCTCTTCAACTCTCTTCTTCGTCTAATATAAGCACAAATCCACTCAGCGCCAAGATCAGATCACATAGATAAGGCGACTGTAAGAGTAACTTGATCAGGCTCCACATTTTGCCTTTGCATTTCTCTGAACATCTGTATAGCTTTGTTTTTATTCCTGAATATCAACACAGGCAGCAGTCAATGCTGTCCAGCAAATGACATTCTTGTTGGGAATTACCTTAAACACATGGTGTGCATCATCAAGATTTCCCACTAATTAAGTTTAAAGGACTATTATAGATTCATAGCCAAGTTTAGTTACAAAGTTATGAATTCGAATTCCCTCTCTAACCAAGGATTTTTGAATGCATGTTTGGTGTTAAAGAAAGTAGCTATCAATTATAGGAGGCTTTGTCGTCAACAATTCTTTGAACAGCAAAAGGGGTTTTATGGGATTGGTCTGGAGATAATTTTTAAGGGTTTGATTAGGTCTTTCTTTCTTGAGGTGTTTGTGGAAGTGAATACGAGGTTGTTTTCTACGGAAGACACATTTTAAGAATCTAGTCATCTGGGTTATAAGATGAAGAACCTGGTTTTCCAATTGTGATGGGCTTATATTGTTGCAAGATGATAAAAGGCGGGGCGGGGTAGGTTTATTCTCCGTTTAATTTTTTTTTTTTTTTAGTTTTTGATAATTTATTTTTATTGCCCATATTCATTAAATTTAGACAAATAATTTTAGTTGCTATTTTCTATTAGAACTAATGAAAA